ATGGGCTGATTTGGAGCCCAGATCTGCAAGGTGCTGGGTGCCTTCAATTTTCAGAGGCTTCGAGGGGAGGGCAAGGTGCTCTGAACATTGCAGGAGGTGCCCAGCGCCTCACAGCCCTGGGTCCCTGGTCCCGTCCATATTGCACATTACAGCCTGTGGCAGGCTAGAAGGGAGAATGGAAGACTGGTCTGGTAGCTCCGAGAGATTTATATGGAGGATTCTGTTGACTCATCCAGCCCATGTTTAGCCTTAATCTACCTCTACCGAAGGCGCGGATGATAAAATGCACCCTTCAGCCATGCTGCTGCAAGGAGAGGAGTAATTACGGTATCCCTGACCTAATGCAATATATTGAAGAGACTGGAGGAAGCAGAGAACAACTCATGATTCAGCACAAGAACACAGGACTTTCCCTTCTGTATTAGACATAAGAACATAAGAATGGCCATACTGAGTCAGGCCAATGGTCTATGTAGCCCAGTATCCTGTCAGTGCTTCCGAGGGAACGAACAGAACAGGGCCATCCCCATCATCCAGTCCCAACTTCTGGCAGTCAGAGGCTTAGCGACACCCAGAACACGGGCTTGTGTCCCTGACCATCTTGGCTAATAGCCATTGATGGACCTTTCCTCCAGGAACTTATCGAGTTCTTTTTTGAATCCAGTCATACTTTTGGCCTTCACAACATCCTCTGGCAAGGAGTTCCGCAGGTTGACTGTGCGCTGTGTGAAGAAATACTTCCTGATGTTTGTTTTAAACTTGCTGCCTATTCATTTCATTGCATGACCCCTGGTTCTTGTGTTAGGTGAAGGGGTAAATAACACTTCTCTATTGACTTTCTCCAGCCATTCATGATTTTACACACCTTTAGCATATCCCCCTCTAGTCAACTCTTTTCTAAGATGAACAATCCCAATCTTTTTAATCTCTCCCCATACGGAAGCTGTTCTATTTCCCTACTCATTTTTGTTGCCCTTCTCTGTACCTTTCCCTTTTTAAGATGGGGTGATCAGATCTGCACACAGTATTCAAGATGTGGGCGTGCCATGGATTTATGTAGTGGCATTATGATATTTTCTGTCTGATTATCGATCCCTTTCCTAATGGTTCCTAACATTCTGTTCCCTTTTTTGACTGCCACTGCACGCCGAGCAGACGTTTTCAGAAAACGATCCATGATGACTCCAAGATCTCTTTCTTGAGCGGTAACAGCTAATTTAGACCCCATTATTTTATACGTATCGTTAGGATTATTTTTTTCCAATGTGCGTTACTTTGCATTTATCAATAATGAATTTCATCTGCCATTTTGTTACCCACTCACCCAGTTTTGTGAGGTCCCTTTGGAACCCTTTGCAGTCAGCTTTGGACTTAACTATTTTTGAGTAATTTAGTATCATCTGCAAACTTTGCCACCTCACCGTTCACCTGCTTTTCCGGATCATTT